GGGGCTGGCCCTCCATTGTATGTTCCTAGTTCCTTTGTTGAAGATTAGCTGTCCGTAGATGTGTGGTTTTATTTCTGGGCTTTCAATTCTGTTCCCTTGATCTGTGTGTCTGTTTTTGTACCTGTTTTGATTACTATTGCTTTGTAGTATGTTTTGCAAATAAGTAGATTTTATAAAGTCAGTAACCTAGAAAATATGTTTGAACACCTTGTTAGAAGCCCTAGAGAAATGTGTGCCAAGGGCAAATAATGGTAAGTACTTGTACTGGGAACCTATTGTTGCTGCTTATATTCCATTTATTTTCTGACTTACTTCCTAGAATTACCCTCCACCCATAATCACAGGTTTACCATGGAAGTCATCATTTTATACAGGGACACCCTGCCTCGTGACTACAGTACTACAGTCTGTGGGTACACATCTAACACCAAGTTGGAAAAATTTCTCTCTTCTGGGGAATTTTGGAACTGGGTCCTACTGAGACCCCAAGGTTGGACCTAACATGTAAAACTCAGCAGCTCTTGGTTTTATGTCATGTGGACTGGGAAAATGGTCTGAGCTGAAAGGAAGAGTGAAGCTAATGTGTAGACAGCAACAAAGACAAACATGAAGAGAGTCCATTGTTTCAACTTTAGTTTATTCCTGATGCTCATTTGCACTCCTGATCTTGAGTTCCATCAGAGACCCCAACTTCTTTTAATTATTTCCTTTTTGGCTTGAGCTAGTTAGAGCAGGTTTCTCTTATCTGCAGCTAAGGGAATGTGTATTGACATAAGCTCAGAAAAGCCAAGGAAGCTGTGACAGTGGAAAAGTAGTCATTATATGAATATGTAGGATTAAAGAGCCTAAGGATTCAAGACAACCACTTCATCTTTCTAGACTTTACTTTGCACATCAATAAAATGAAGGAGTTAAATTAGGTGATCTTTGTAGTACCTTAAAAATGTTCCACTTCCTTTTGGGGTTCATGGTTTCTGATGCAAAATCCACATTCATTTGACTCACTGTTTCCCTCTTTTTTTTTTTTAAAGCTTTTATTTTTTTCCCCTTAAAGCCCCAGTAGATCGTTGTATGTCATAGCTGCACATCCTTCTAGTTGCTGTATGTGGGACGTGGCCTCAGCATGGCCAGAGAAGCGGTGTGTTGGTGCGTGCCTGGGATCCGAACCCAGGCTGCCAGTAGCGGAGCGCGGGCACTTAACCGCTAAGCCACAGGGCCGGCCCTGTTTCCCTCTAAGTAATCTATCATTTCTCCTTGGCTGCTTTCAAGATTTTTTCTTTGTCTTTAACAGTAATGATGTATCTATGATGTGGGCTTTCTTTAGACTTATCCTGTTTTAGATTAACTGAGCTTTTTGCATCTGTAAATTTATGTCTTCCATCAAATTTGAGCATTTCAGCCATTCTTCAAATATTTTTTCTGCACCACATTCTTTCTCTTCTCTTTCTTGGACTCTAATGGCACAAATGTTAGACTTTTTTGGTATTTTCCCATAGACCCCCTTGTGCCTTTGTTCAGTTTTTCAATCTTTTTGTAACCAAGCAAAAAGGGGCACTGCAATTCAGTGCCAATCAATTGCAAATGAGTCAGTAGTTGAGAAAGGAAAGTTTTATATGATTAGCTAGCATAATCGGAAGATGGCAGACTAATGTCCTAAAGAACCATCTTAAAATTATATAGATTCTTGAGGCAGTTATATAGGGGAAATGGGCAGGGAAAGAGGGGGTTTAGGGATGCCTAGCTTCTGGTGTGATGAACTTCAAGGGGCCACATTATCTCTTTCTTCTGTCATTCGTGATGGGTACCAATGCAGAGTTTTTGTTTCTGGAGGTCATCATGTTCCTCGGGAACTCAGAGAACAAAGTTATCCTCTTATCACAGTTGGGAGATATACATAAGCAAGAGTCATAGAACTAGCAGATCATGTATTTTGCAAAAGGGAAAAGTGCTTAATCATCTAGGCTACATGCAGGCCAGAAGGCATTCATAGAGACTAGTGAGTTAGGGTCATAGTTACAATATTGCTTCCTTTCCCTAAGATGGATTCTCTCATGCTAACTTAAGATCTAGCTGTTACATTTTTTCTCTCTGTTGTGAACAACAGATGCGATTAAATTAAGGATCTTGAGATAGGGACATTATCCTGGATTATCTGGGTGGGTCTACTGTAATCACAAGAGTCCTGATAAAAGGGAGACAGGAATGTGAGAGCCAAAAAAGGAGATCTACAATGGAAGCAGAGGGTGGAGTGATGTACTTTGAAGATGGAGGAAGGGACCATGAGCCGAGGAATGCAGGCAGCCTCTAGAAGCTGGAAAAGGCAAGGAAATGGGTTTTTCCCTGGAGTCTCCAGAAGAAATGCAGCCCTGCTGACATCTTGCTTTTTACCCTATAAGATTCAATTCAGACTTCTGACCCTTGGAACTGTAAGATACTACATTTGTTTTGTTTTAAGCCACTATATTTGTAGTAATTTGTTACAGTAGCAATAGGAAACTATACAAAGACAATGCAGTTATTTAAAAAATTTTGGTTATTGTATTTTTGAATTCTAATATTTCCTTTTGGTTCTTTATGTTTTCTATTTCTTCGTTGAGACTTTTCATCTTTTCCAGAGTGTTCATACTTACTTATGACACTTTTATAATAGTTGTTTAATGTCTTATTCTGATAATTCCAACATCTGTGTCATTTCAGCCTCAGTGTCTATTGATTGTTTTTTCCTATGTGAGTGAAATTTCATGGTTCTTCATATACCAAGTAGTTTTGGATTGCATCCTGGACATTTGAATATTATGTTATGAGGCTATGGATCTTGTTTAAATCCTATGGAAAACGCTGATATTTCTGTGTTAACATGCAATTGACCTGGTTTGCTTTAGGTCACAAGTTCTGACCAACTTACTGTGGATTGTGCTTTCAACATGAGTTCTCTTTTCAAGTCATTGCAGTGCTATTCAGATCTGTAGCATATATGTGCCACCCAGTGGCCAGTCTGGGACTTGGGTGATGGCATATCTCTTAGTGCAGTTCTAAGTCCATGGTATGCTTTTCAGGGTTAAATCCACGCATGTACAACTGCAAGATGATCCCAGAAGTTCATAAAACTCTATGGGGTCTTCCTCCTGAACTCCTTCACTCTCAAGTTACTCAAGTTTCCCTGAAATAACACTCTTCTCAAAGTAGCAGACACTTAGCACACTTGTAACCGTCTTTATTACATGTGTTTTTAAACACATCTCTAAGTGCATTATACAATGCTTATCACACCCATTCCCTTAAATAAGACTCTTCTCAAAGTAGCATACACACAGTACTCTTATAACCATCTTTATTACATGTGTTTTTAAACAATTCTCTAAATGAATTACAAAGTGGCAATCACATTCATTCCCTTAAAACACTGTTCTCTTTGTAGCAAATAGGTAGCACTCTTATAATCATCGTTATTACATGTTTTTTAAAACCCTTCTGTAAATGCATTACAGAAGAGCTAAGAATATTCTCAAGTATTCTTAGAACACTCAAGTCATTCCTTTTTAAAATATCCTTTACAGGTTAAAATCCAGCCTCCTCAAGTCTAATTGGTATAACGAGAGAGGTAGAGGCCATTTGATGAGTCACAATGGCCAATGGGAAGTAAACTGATCACACCATACCCAGGTCAAATAAAAACAAGGGTGGGTACCACTCTCTCTCCTTAAATCTAGGGTAGAATTAGTTTGGACTTTTATCTCAGAGCTAAAGAATAAATCCCACCAAACAGGAGTTTGCATTTAATTAAGACTCCACTGTGTTTGGACAACAACAGAGCACCTACCTTAAAAATATAAAAGCAAGCAAATAAACAACTTATAAAAAAATAAAAGCAGCTTTGATTTTAGATTATCACAGCAATGCAGGCTTGTTGAAAAAATTAAAGCAATTGAGAAATGTGTAATTTAGAAACTGAAAGTACTTATGGCTCCCTTTCTGGTTATAAAACGAACCAAAGTATATATTTTGCTTTTGAGTTGTTTACTTAAAAAGTGTTATGTTTCCTGTTCTTATTTTTAAAAATGAAATGACCACAACTTTTCGTATTGCTCTCATACACACAAAAGAAATACACAAAGAAGTTGTTTTTTACTTGAATCTGGTTCTCAGGTTGTTTTTTCTTGAGAGTCTGTGAATTTAAAAAAATTTTAGAAAGGAAATTTATTAAAGAATGGCCCGGGCCGTCCCCATGGCTTAGCGGTTAAGTGCTCGCACTCCGATGCTGGTGGCCAGGGTTCGGATCCTGGGTGCGCACTGATGCACCGCTTCTCCGGCCATGCTGAGGCTGCGTCCCACATACAGCAACTAGAA